AAAATGGATAAATGGTAGTATTAACTACATTAGTAACTGTAGATTGAAGCAAAGTCTAGTGCACATAGATCAGTTAGATGTCAAAGTTGAAAACCATATCTAAAAGCGTACTAAAAATTACAAATATAAAAGTATTAAATGAAACATCATTTCTGAAGCAGTATGATATCTTAGACAACATGATCAATGAAAGTTAATAATATAACAGTATTCTGATATAAAATAAACAGTTTCCCTAATAATGTAAGTATTAAAGATAATTTTACAGGCGCAGAGGACATATGATATGTCAACGATGGAATTGAGGGATTGACCAAGGTGGGTTCCAGGGATTCATTGGTGGGTAAAACCATGGCATAATGTTTGGTTGGCTGGGAGATGTGGGGCCACTCGCATGTGCGAACGTGTTCATTCGTCTGTTGAATTTGTTATATTTTGCGGTTCTTTCTCCCGAATTTGGGGCGGGCTTGTGTTGGTTATTCCCCCTCTCCCGTGTGATGTTTAGAGCAACTTTCAGGTGCTTCACAATGGCCGGTAGGCCTTTTTTGAAGTTTAAATGGATGTTGTCATGGAACATATCATCTGTGGGTTCAAATGGGTCCACCATTTTCACGCTGGGATAGAGACAAGTGGCAGTATGAATTTCATAGTTTGCCCCATCCACCATACTGTTTTCAATATCTTTTCTGTATAGTATTGGAAGCAGAAATATTTTCGAATTCCTCCATGATGATGTGCACAATTCTAAAAGGTGCTTAAAATCTTCTTTTTTCACATTGCCGTTAGCGAGATCCCTCGTTCCTATGTGAATCAACACTGATTTGGGGTTGAATTTGTGACTGTGCTTCTTGACGAAATCTGAACACAATTTTGCTCCTCCTCTTATGAATCGTATTACAGTCTTTCCTTCGGGTGTAAATCGTTTGGGTTGAATTTTTCTAAGTATAGAATCACTTAGGATGAGGATGTCACAGTCTGTAGTGCTGTTCATGGCCTCACCAGTTATAGGCAATTTTTTGTCTGATGTGTTGGACAGTGTTTTACCCTCAGGGGAAGGATTTACAGTCGAATGATCTGTAGGTTTATCATAGTTGGTTGGCTGCATTGGTTTTGGTTCTTGTTCATGTCGTGTTGGGCTTGTGTTTACCCTGGGAACAGAATGTTCACTGAGATGGTTTGCATTATAGTCAGAGGCAAGCCAAGATGTTTTTGACACTTCAAGCTGTTCAATGCGGTCTTGCAGGTTTGTGATCTGTGACTGAAGAGTTTCAATTGATACTGTTTGCCCTTCTTGTAACCCTATAATTTCTTTCAATTGATTATCCAGGACATTGGTCTTCACATGTAATGAATCAATAGCAGAGTTGCAGTGTTTGACTTTGGAGTCAATAGAGTCTAATTGTTCATGAAGCTTTTTCTTATGCGTGTTCAGATGGTCCACAAAAAAGTGACTGGGACAATTCTGGTATTCGCGAGATTTGGCCTTTGACCAAGTTCAGTTGAGAAAGTTTTTCAGCAAATGATTTGAGAGTGTTATCAATTACTGATAGCATGTTGTGGACTTCGTTGAATTTCATTTCTATAGTTTTACTATGCTGCTGTACTTTTTCTTTAGGTGTTATTTAAGAGCCTGACCTGATTTTTTGATTGGAGTGGATTGCGAGAAGTCTGTACCGATTGTTTCACTTTCAAATGCTGCTTTTAATTCAGTTTCTGAATTGTTCAATGTAGCTAGTTCATGTTCACTGTCAATGTATGTGTCACTCGCCGTCTTAGAAATGTCTTGTGTATTGGCTGTGTCGTGGCTCAGGGCTTTGTTAATCTGTTCTTTTACAAACATATCCAACTTTGAGAAATATGCATCATGGAAACTTGAGCATGTCGCTCCTTGTATATTGACACTCCCTGTATTATAAAAGCTGAATTTCACGAAGTTTTTGTCGTCATACTTGACTTTGACCACACGATTGTTGTTTATCAAGTTCGCCCTCGTTTCACCAAAGAACAGAATGATACTTTGTTTCCAAATATCGATATTTTCAACTTCAACTTTGAAGGTAATGTTATTTATCTTACCGTCACATTGCAAATGTATCTTTGCATCAGTATTGTCGTCGGAATTCACGACATTATCGATGTCGTCTCCTGTAAGACATTCGTCAAATTTTGACGGAAGTTTGTGGATGCGTGATGTTGCCATGACTGTTCAATGTTCAATTTGCAGCGTAATTATCCAGCATCCGATATCAAACTATACTTAAAACATGATCAACATAAAAAATGTTGTGTTTTCAAACGTAGATACCTGATGATTTAATTTTTACTCTCAGCAAAATTTTCTGAAGATGCTGCTTCGCCGGAAGCGGAAGTCAAACATCCTTGGAGTGCACTGCAAAACATCCAATGCTGGTTGTTTAGCAGAACTTAAAAGACTACCACTTTGGTCCAAAATTTCCCTCTCAAGTATCAAATATTGGAATCACCTGAAAACTTCTGATTCTTTGGCCTTTAAACTTTACCAATCCACAATTAACTGTAATTCTTGGACTAAGAAATTATTTTCTATTCTTGATAATCTTGGATTCTCTAACATTACAAAATATACAGGTTCCATCCAACACCTTTTACCAAACATTAAACAAAGAATCATAGATCAGTGCACTCAAGAGCAAACATCAAAAATCTTTGGTTCAGAAAAACTTGATCTTTTCAAGAAAGTATACTCAGGAAAAAGAAGTCCTTATGTTGATTTACTCAAAAAAAGATCTGAGAGATCCTCTCTTAGTAAAATTAGACTAAGCGCACATAAACTTGCAATAGAAAGTGGTAGATATATTTCCACATCAAGAAATGAAAGATATTGTAATGTTTGTAATACTGGTGTGATTGAGGATGAAATACATTTTCTTTTTCACTGTAATTCTTACTCTAAGCTAAGAAACGCATTCTTTAGTAATATTTATAACATAACAAAGAAAAATATTAATCTTAGCAAGGAGAAATATATGCTACAATTATGTATAAACAATAATATACAAAAAGTCTTGAAAGTTACTGTTAAATTTATCAGAGACTGTTTTGATCTTAGAAGTCAATTACTTGACAATTCTTGAAAAAATATGTAAACATTATTTAATGTTGTTCAGTGGGCCTTTGCCAATTATTGTAATTGTGTTTGTGCCAATAAAGTATTTGTATTTGTATTTGTATAAGAGAATAGATATACCATCACTGCAGTGCCCTCTTCCACGTAAAGATTTAACAGTGAGGAATATTTTTGGATTTAAAAACTGAAGTTGCTCCCCTTAATCATGTTAATTTCCGATGCATCACCAATTAATAAACCATGCATTTACAATGGGGGATCCATGCAGGAACCTGAAAAGGGGACCCGTTTGAGGTCGGGATAGGCCCCCCAGTTACACAAAAAAAACTGATTTTTTTTTGTTTATTTGGACACAAAAGAGGGAGGTGTTCCCTTTAGCTAGGCCCACAGGTGCTCGTGGACAGGATTATCCCTACCCCCCCCCCCTTAACCTTTCAATATTAAAAAATATATACATATACGTGAAACGACTGTGAATAGAAATTGCATATGATTGATATATTTATGTGATTTTAAAATAGAAACATATAGATTGAATTGTCAGAGATTAGAAATGAAGAAAAAAATCAGAATTTTTTTTTTTTGATATGGGTTAGGGATAATTAATCTTGTCCACGAGCACCTGTGGCTAGCCCCCCCCCCCCCCCACCCCCCATCTAAATCCGCAAGTGTTCGACTACGTGTCTGTATACCAAGCACTTGTTTAGGAAATAAGGACTTAAATTTTTAACCCATAATCTATTAATAAAACAAATATAGCTTTAAATAATATTATTATACTATGGGTAAAAAAAAATATTTCCGTGGTCTCAGATTCTGCACGCTGCACAAGGTTACCGGATTGGTATCGTCCATAACGTCTATTTTTCTCTTTTAGAATGATAAATGCCCGTATTTGAAAACAAAAGCCATGCGAGCCCAGCTAGGCTAACACTGGTCAGGTTAATATTGGACTATGCAGAGGTAATGACCAAATGTACACCTAAATAGACACGTTTTAACAAGGATTAAACAATTTAAGTAAGGCCATTTTACTTAACCCTGAGTAATTCAGTCATTAGATGTCAATTTAAGTAAGGCCATTTTACTTAACCCTGAGTTATTCAGTCATTAGATTTCGTACGGGTGAAATGACGGTGGTGCTGTGTGTGTCTACATCTGTACCAGTGTACATGTCATGTATGATGACTTATTATAGGCCTATGTCTTGATCATTCATTTTCCACTAAATCACTAAATGTACATTTTGAAGATAAATTCTGTTTATGATAGGGTAACGGTTTGCACCTTGGATATCGGCTGTTCAGTAGGTAGACCAAGAGAATAGTGTCAGATTCAGAAGTCCTGGGATCAATTCCTGGTTTAGCCATCATTTTCTCCTCGCTTGTTACATTTGGTGCTTTGTCAAGCTCCTGACGTGACATATTGAAGACTGCCCATGGAAGAGCCTTTTGTTGCCTTTGGGATTGAAGACCCTGTAAGAAGTGAGAAAGGGATGTATTGCCGGATGCAGCATTCTGCATGTGGTCAGGCAGGTTCGAATGCCAGTGGTCAGATACTTCTATGTCAACCAGTCTGTGGCCACCATCAGTCAATGATGATACTGCCACCTCTGCAGGCATTTAAATTTTAAGATAAAATTTAGTGCTTTACAGTTCCGTTGTTCAGGCATGGGCACCTCCTGGGCCCATGTGGTAATCATTTTAAGCACCTGACTGGGGATTCAGGGGGTCCCGGTTACAGATTATCTGTCTGGTCTTTTGCATTATTCTTCTCTCCTTTATAACAGGAAGATTATGAATCTGCATGTATGAAATTATCATTTCAAAAGACATTGGTGTAACTGAAAAGGTGTCAAATGACAGTTAAAACTTTATATTTTTTTCATTGCAGCATGGACTTATTATCACAAGATGAAAGAAAAGTGCAGGCAGTTGTTGAGGAAAACACAGAGGATGTTAATCCAAAAAGAGGACGTGGACGCCCCCGCAAGATGGACAAGCCTGAGAAAATCAAAGTACCTGGCAGAGGGCCTGGACGTCCTCCTAAAATTGACAGTCCAGAGAAGTTAGCTAATATAACAACCGAATCAGATGATGTATACAAAGAAGAGAAATCTGATGAAGGGGTTCAACAGAATGGCAGAGGTCGTGGACGTCCTCCAAAATGTAACACAGAAAGAAGGTGAAGTAAAATTAAAGTTTTAAGAGCATGAACATAGCTATTAAATGTTGAAATGTTAATTGAAAGCCCCCCCCCCCCCCCTCAAGTTTTTGTTGCATTAGAGTCAAATAGGAGTAATGTAGAAGTGCATGAATAAGACTTTGTACTTAAAGAAGTTTGAACCTTAATATATAATGCTCTTCATACATGTCATGTCACTTTTCTGTGATAAAAAAAAAAACAAGGTAGTAAATTTGTTTTTAATGGTGATGGATGATGACGCCATAAAATGTAAATAAAATATCTAAATAAAACCAGAGGGAAAACTCAAAAGTGCATACATGTATACAAGATAAATGTATATAAGATACATGTGTATCTGTAAAAAATGTAAAAATTGCAGTATGGGCCTGAAGTTGTTAGAGGAAGAAAAAGAAGAATCAACAGAAGAAATGGAGAGGGACTTAAAACTAAAGAAAGGTAGAGGACGTCCTCCAAAAAGGAACAGGGAGCCAGAAAAAATCAAAGTACCAGGCAGAGGGCATGGGCGCCCACCAAAATCTACAACATCAAATAGGTGTGTAATAATGAGATTTATGTAAAGTAAATGATCTTAATTTGTCTAATCAACTAAGATTCTGATATATGTACCTGTAAATAAAAATGGGAAGTCTGTATGCTTTAATTAAATTAAATTGGCAGTCTAAACATGACATCAGCAGCAAATGATTCAGAGGATGAAGTCATTCCAAGTAGCAGAAGTCCTTCTAACAGTCACTCACCAAGCAGGTCTGATACAGTTTATGTACATATAGAGAGAATGTGTGTAAATTCTTGGTTCAGTGAACATCGTTATAAGTCAACTTATTTCCTATGTAGCTTGTAACACAAGCTTTGATTGGTTACAGAGTCTGGTGTAAATTTCTGTGCACCCAACTTTTGTGTGTGTGTGTGGGGGGGGGGTAAATAAAACGTGACATCACAATGCATACTTTCTCTATGATAAAAGCCAAATAGCATGACATCATGATGCACTGTAGTATGTATTTATCTTATCGATAGACTGAGACACAGTTCATTAGACTCTGATGTTAAAAAGAATTTTTTATGGGTACATAGGAAATAAATTTGTTATCCAGTCCAATCAAGGGTGTACAGGGATTTCCCCGGGTTGTATTTCATACACCCTTCGGCCTCAGGGTGTATGAAATGAAACCCGGGGTAAATCCCCGTACTCCGTTGATTGAACCTGGATAACTAATATTATCCCACTGAGTGTGTGTACAGATATTTTTGAGAAGTGACATAATTGTCTATCCAAAGACTAAGAAATGTGTCCTTTATCATCATTCTCCTTTGAATAAAATTATATTTTATAGCATGTTATTGCCAACAATTAATAAACAAGAATCACCAGAGGAAGAGAAAGAAGAGGGGGAGATGAGCGTTAATCCAAAAAGAGGTAGAGGACGTCCCCCCAAAATGGACAAAAAGCCAGAAGTTATAAGAGTACCTGGCAGAGGGCGTGGCCGTCCCCCCAAATCTGCAAAGGATTCTTTGAACAGGTAACATAAAATTTTTGAATGTACAAATATAAAAACATATACAAAATACTTCCATGTACTTGTATACCATATAAGCAGAATTTTTAACATGGATTCAATTTTGGCATTATTAATATCAAGGATTCTGATTGCTAAAATTGGATATTGCTAACAATTTATTCTGTATTGGTTGTAATAGTTATCTTTCTTGATATTATATATCTGTTAAAATTACTTCTCGCTAAAAATAATAAACACCATTTTTTGGATAAATCACTCAATATCCGTCTTGCTAATGTTTTGTTCAATTAAACAAAGCAAGAATTTGGAGAATTGTTTACAGTTATTATTTATTAAGTTCTTTGAAAAAAATAAACATAACAATTAGAATTTTGTTGAGATGAAGTTTAAAATGTTATTGCAGCATAAATTTGTTATCACCAACGAAAAAGGATGTGAAAAAGGATGTGGAATTAGAAGAATTGGAGGAAGTGGATGAGGAGGACATTCAGATAAAAAGAAGTCGTGGACGTCCCCGAAAAACGGACAAGAAGCCAAAGAAGATAACAGTACACGGCAGGGGCAGAGGACGTCCCCCACAAACTGAAAAGTCAAATAGGTATAAGAAACCCCAAGTTGACAGGTCATTGACTAAAAGATGTGGTATAAAAAAGACCGAAAAGTAAATGCTAATTCTTACAAAAATTCGTTTTCTAATCTTTTATATTTTGATGCATGCTCTGCAATAAAAAGTTTTATTTCTGTGGAAGGAATAAAGAAAAAAGTGGGGCATCTGATGAGGTAGAACTGAAGGAATATGAGACAATTGAGGACTCTGAGGAGGAAAATCTGTCTCACAGGAAAAGGGGAAGGGGAAGACCTCGCTCAGTGGACAAAGTGTCACGCAGTCGAAGGAAAAGTCCATTAAATTCAGCAGCAAATAGCAAAGGTACTGTTTACATTTTATATTTTTCCCCATCACTTTTTTAAGACTGGGAATATTACTGATGTTACTTGTTGTACATTTAAACTTTCCCTTACAGGTTTAAAAACAACGTGAGTTAAAGCTAAATATGGGCTTTTCTGTGCAAATGAGCTAATAAAAATGCATAAATTGTATACCGTAAATCTGGAAATTTTTGCTGTAGATAAATTTTTAGCAAATTTGCGAGTGCATTGCATTCGCAAAAATATTTTTCTTAAAAATAAATCACAAATAAGAAAATGTAAACAAAGCAGTGGTCATTCGCAAAATTTTGAAACGTAAAAATTAATCAACAGCATTTTGATCCGAATTCGCAAAATAAAATCGATGTAAAAATTTCCAGATTTACGGTATTTCACAGAGAAAGTTCAAATTGATTTTCTAATACATACTTAGTACCCACAGTTAATGCAAGTGCACATTATGACATCATATTATGACGTCATAGTTCTTTCCCATTCAAGGTAATAAAACACATCAAAAAACAACGTCAGCGCAAGGGCATATCCTATTTCATTTAAAATAAATAATGTATAATATTAAGGAGAATATTCTTAAAATTAATAAAATTGCTGCACAAATCCTATGCTCTTCTTCAATTGATAAAAATTTTACTAAACTTACACTGGACTGTGCATTTTTACCCTGTTTCAATTAGAACTTACGAATAGTAACTAAACAATTGCAGTGTCGACATTTGTGCAGTAATATCTTAATTCCTTGGAATATTCTGCTTCTCTTTATACCTTAAGGTATGCCCTTGCGCCGAGGCAATTTTGTTGATGTTTCTTATAAACTTGTGTAGTAAAGGTCGATGAAGTCATAATATGACGTCATAATGTGTACTGGCAATCGCATATCGTGGGTACCAAGAATGTATTAGAAAACAAGTCTTCACATTTTCTTTGCGGTATGTATAGCAATTATGGGTCTTAATTAATTATTTTGCATAGAAACCGTCATACGTAGCCTTAACTCACTTGCAAACGAAAAATTCTTTTTGCATGATTGGTCTTTTCATGTACTAGATGTGCCATTAAGATTGTAAATTTTGAATTTTGGCCCTTCAGTTTTTCAAAGTTTTAAATGAATTGGTCCAAAAATCAAATTTTCCATTAGAAATTTATATGTAGATGTATCAAAAAAGTCTTGTATAAAGTGTAGATTGCTAACGTTCTGTAGAATCTGATGATGAGGACTCCAGTGACAGCTGGGACAGTGGATCTGAGGCAGAGGACAAAGAGGACACAGACTGGGATATCTCACAACAGAACTGTGTAAGAATTTGATAGAAAAAAAAATCTGTCCTAAAAATGTTGAAATTTTAAATAATAATCTGTCCTCACCTAGCTAGCAAGAAAATAAATGATATGTTGTAGATATCAGCTGTATGATTTGAACTTAAAGTATTATTTAGAGAACTCGACAGGTTCTGTATCGTAGATACAAATTTGGGGGCAGACGAGTGCGAAAGCACGAGTCTCCGCCCCCAAATTTGTATCTACGATACAGAACCTGTCGAGTTCTCTAAATGATTTGTGACACGATCAATCAAAAATAGCTCCGCCCACTTTATTACTTTGCAGCATCCACTGTAGATGAGGCCCTGACGGGGAGTACGCATCCGCAGTATATATATTTCCACGGAAAACGTAAAATTCGGTCAGATTTGTTTTGACAATTTAACGGGGTAGACGTAATCGAGTGATAGTCAGTCTTAATGGATGAATTGGAGGATTTAACCGTAATTGTTGTGATCTATTGTTATAATTGTAGATGGAGATTTATCATAATTTATTTCAGGGGTCTTAAAATCCCGGTTTAACTAGATTTACAAAAACAGGATTTACAGAAAATTCTTCGATGGACTTTGATGTCAGGGATTTTCATTTTCAAATTGAATTGCGACATTAAAAACGAAGTGAAACAGACGTGTGGCTGTCGTCAGCGAGAAGGATTTTTTCCGTGATAGCGAATTTTCCGTTTCGTGTGGATTGTTCAAAATTAGGTACAGAGGATGTTTTCCGTTATTGCGATTTTTTTTTTACTTTCGATCGAAATTACGTGTAGATTCTGTGTGGAATAAGTTTTTAGAAATTGATTGAGAAATTTTGACATTCTACATTCTCAGGAAAATACCGGGTATTTCTTAAAAATTAATTATAGGAAAACATCAGTATTTATTATGTGCACGTGCTAGCTTTGCTAAATTGAATCAGATTTATTTTTAGACCGTGCTGTATTTTAGATACAGAATAGTTGGCAAATACAATACTGTATACAGGGCTAATACAGAACGGAAAGTAGCTCCGCCCACCACAGTCCCGTTCTGTATTGCTAATACAGAACAGTAAACTTCAAAGAAAAACACCGCTATCGTGTCACAATGTAAATTCTGAAAACAGTGTGGTACTAGTGTGATACCCTGCCATGCACCACCACTCCTTCACCCTGAAATGAAAGGTTTACCTTTGTGTTATTATTTTTTTTTTTAATGGTTAAACACATTAAGAATTCTTGAAATTACAAAAGAAATATAGAATTTAAAAAAAAATGTCAGATAAGCAGCAATTCAAATTCAGAAATGTCAAATTAAAATAGACTACATGACCAAAGAATAACACAAAAATAGTTCAAGCTAATAAGAATAAACTATAATATGAAAAAATAAATCTGTTGTCAAGAAATGGACAGGCTTTTTTTGTCGTTCTTTCAAAAGTTGTAACAATTCAATTAAAAATAAAGTTTGAGTATTCAAACAGTTGGGTTTGAGCAAAGGTAATATTTTGGTGTAGAGGGGATCTTATTGTGATTGAATATCGTTATTAATGTTGAATTATTATCACACTATGAAAATTGTAATGAAATTAGGTTAAAACCCTCTTAATTCTTCAAAATATTTATTTAAAATAGATACAAGAACCAGTTAAAAAGGGCACTAGGAAGTCTCCAAGGAAGATGAAAAGAGGAAGGGGTAGACCCCATATAGTGAATAAAAGTCCTGCCAGTCCACAGAGAAGAGCAGTGAAGTCCAAAGTAGATAAACAAGGTACTGAAAATATGAATACATTGTAATAAGTTATGTTCACAATAGATAATTTATAAAGGACAATTATAAAAAGTTGAAGATCTTTAATGTTTCCAAAATCAATGTTATATGAGGGTTGATCCAAAAGTAATGTCACAGCTTTGATAAAATTGCTATAAATTGACGTAAAACAACAAAATTATACATCATGGAAGCTTTATTTATTTCAAATCAGACCTGAAAAATTCAAAGGAATATGATGTATACTTTCCAAAATATCGGATTTTAAACAATGAGTGTTTATGGTAGTCGCAGGACCTAAATACATGTATGATGTCATATGACGGATACGCGCCCTCATGTTTTTAATAGTTTCCTCTTTCATTTAAACATATTTGTGATTCGCAAACAATTTCATCAATTTCACTTTCTTTAAGAATTCTTGGTACCATTATACAATCACTCTTTTCATAATTTAGCCCTCTGTCAAATTTTTTTGAACAGTAGCATAAGACAAACTTGAAAATTCACATGTCACTCTATCTGACTGTCTTTTTTCACAGTGTCAGACACCACTGAACATTTCCATCCGATCTCCTATCTTTCGGTCTTCTTGTCCTCTGCTGATCATTTAATGACCCATCACCCGCCCAAAATTGCCAAAACTATCTATAAAGTTAACTTAATAAAGAAGTCTCTGTTACATTCTTTATTCTGTGAGTCTGATTAATTAACTTAATTGTCGCTAGTGATGATTCCCATATTTTGAAGAAAAAATGCATTACAACTCGTCAAGCTTTTTTTCTCATTTTGACAATCCCTTTGTTCAATTAAACAGAGTAAAGCAACAAAGTTTATGATCACAAATATCAATGCCGTCAATTAATTTTCAATTAAAGACTAGAAAATGACGTGAATAGTGTCTTTAAAAATATTGGGAGATTAGGTGCTTTTTTAGAATCTTTTTAATGTGTTTGTCTTTTTCATTCTAAGAAAAAATACACTTTAAAATGTGACATTCAGTTTTGAAGTGGCGACACCCCCTATGCTCTATGTTTTGAACATATATAAAATAAACTCAAATAAACCTCATTAAATGAAAATATCTATGTTAATTTGATTTGTATTTTGCATCTTTTGGTATATTGTACATGTATTTGATAATATGATGCCAAATATGAAAGATATGGACACTGTGACATTACTTTTGGATCAACCCTCGTATATACAGTCGAACCTCATTTTCTCAAACTCGATTGGACAGAGAAATATTTTGAGATATCTGAGGATAAGAGACATTGAGGGTAAAATACTTATTAAAGAATAAGTGATTGGGGACTTCTAAATCTTTTCAAGATATTCATTATATTTGAGATATCAGTTTTTGATTTATCAAAGTTTGACCATGTTTAACAGTAACTGCTCTTGATGACTTGTCTGTAGATTCCGACGTTGAGGACTGCATTGAGGACTCCAGTGATAGCTGGGACAGTGGATCTGAGGCAGAGGACAAAGAGGACACAGACTGGGATATCTCAGATGAGAATAACCTCAAAATAAAAGTAAGTCTCATAGGCATTATCTGAGACAGACTGAAGTCAAAATTTCAAATTAGTGAGAACTTTTGAAATAATTCAGAATTTATTCTTTTGTATTAAGTGAGTACATGTATTTAATTATCATACACATTTTCAGCTTTCAACTTGAGATATTCAAAATCTAAATTTGAAACTATAAAATTAAAGGAAAATACCACGATTACATTTTCAACACTGAACTATTGCCGAAGTGATTTTGTGTTATAAATAAAGGATTTTTTTAAAAATACAAATGAAAGTACATGTGTATAATGGCATGGGTGTCTGTCTATGTATCCATTTACTTGTGATAGCTAAAGCATATTACTCAATTTGTTTCATACTCTGTTGCAGTTATAAGAAAACATGTTTCAAAAAATAATAATTCAATTGTTAAATGTTTGTGTTAATAGAAACAAAAACCAATGAAAAGAGGCACTTGGAGCTCCCCTCGAGATGTAAACAAGCCTGGAAAAAGGAAGAGGTACACTTCTGCTTTCTCAAGTGATGAGGAGGAAGAGGAAGAAGTAGACCCTGATACAACCAATAAAACTACCAGTCTGTCTGTCAGTAAAAAGACGAGATTGGAAGACAAAGAGGGAGAATCAGAAAATGAAAGTACATCCCAGAAACCTCTCAAGAGAGGTCGTGGTAAGTCAACAACATTTCAGTTTTACCATAATTTGTAGTGATGATTTAATTTTGGCATTATTACAATGTAGCAAGGGTGCTGAGATTGTTAAAATTGAATATTTCTAAAAATTAATTGCCATTTTGTTGTCATAGCCTCTTGACTGATCATATAAAAATCACTAAAATCATTTCTAGCTATAAATAAACTACCATTTTCTAAGAACAAATGGCTAAATTTGCATCTTGATAGAATTTCTACTTTCTACTTATACATGTACTGTATTTCTTCTTTTTTTGAACTTTTTCTCGTAGTTTTAAAATATTTTTTTGAGAAATGAAAGATTGAGATACAGTGTATGTAAACCAGTGAATGTCTTTTAAATTGTTTAACAGGGATTCATTTCTGAAAAATACTTACAGGAAGACCACCTAAATTGCACAAAGATGGAGATGAAGACATAAATGATGAAGAATGTTTACAAGACAGGGATTCCAAAAATGAAGGACCATCCCCAAAATCTCTCAAGAGAGGTCGTGGTAAGTAAGAGGAAGATATTTAGTTTTGTTTATCTATTTATGAAATAATTATCATGCAATCATCAGCAAGACATGAAATTTTTATAAATAAATGTGTTTTGTTGCAGTTGTATTATGTAAAGAATGAGATTCTTAGACTTTTTAGCTCTTCTGAGCCAAAGGCTCAAAGAGCTAATGCTATGGCCATTTGTGCGGTGTGCATAAACTTTTTAGAATATGGGCCATAACTAAAGAACCCCTTGACCAATCAGTACCAAATTTGTCACAGGGTGTCCTTGGCCTAAGGGCTACCATTTTTATTAAATTAAGGGTTGGGACCCTTAAGGTAGGATTCTTCTCATATTTCTAATATTTAAAAATTAATGAAATTCACAGGATGAAAATCCACCATTCAGTCGAATGAATGGTAACTGAATGGCCACTGAATGGTCACTGAAAGGTCACTGAAAAGACCCTTTCCCGTGACCTTTCCGTGATCATTCAGTTACCATTCAGTCGACTGAATGGCACATACATTTCAGTGACCTTTCCGTGATCATTCAGTTGAATCATTTTATTGAATAATCGGCTTATTTTTTAACCTAAAAATTTTATTTCACTTTTTCTTGGTATAATAGCATTAAATGTATCTAATTCCGAATAAAAAAAAATAGGAAAAAATTAATACAAGAAAAAAAAATTGCTCCCATGCCCAGAATCGAACCCGGGTCTCCTGCGTAGGTATCCGCGACTTTATCAATTGCGCTATTACTTCTTACTGACAAATGAAGATTTAAAATCAATTAATTTATTGAAATCGATGGAACAATCAGTTCACCTGTTGTGTCGAGGAGCTGCGATGTGTATATATCTTGTATATCTTTTGTATATTCTATGTTAGTTGCGCGGATTTTTGGGACAGACTAATTAATTACACATCTCCTATCGGGATAATGACAATTATCAGAGACGGGCACCTGTTACTGTGTCAAAGATTTAAGATCGTTGTAAATTCTCTAGCTAGAAACTTAGTAGAATGAGCAATATCATTTAGAAAGCTAAAATCTCCTATATATTTTTTTTTCTACAAGAGGCATGTATAAACGATGTGTTTATTCTTCTAATTAAAAATTAATTTAAAATAATGTCTTTGTAAAACTAAATATCCTGCAGTTTTGACAATGACAAATTGATCAGTAATACTTGCGATCTTCCAGAAATGTTTTAAATAATATTAATTCTGTCTCATTGATCAGAACTATTTATTTCCATGAAAAAATACACGTATAAGCAGTATAGAATGTTATGCATTTGTTTAAATTTTGAATCGGTTATCGGATCATCATTTTTTATCACTTGAAGAATTTATTTTCTTAATGTAACTAGAAATATTCAATTAAAAATCATTTTGAATAAGTCTCACATATTTTATTTTGGGGATAGACAAATTAATTACACATCTCCTATAAGGATGATGACAGCTATCAGAGACGGGCACCTGTTCCTGTGTCAAAGATTTAAGATCATTGTAAATTCTCTATCTAAAACTTAGTAGAATGATTTTTTTAAAGCATATCATTAGAAAGCTAAAATCTCCTTTATATCTATTTTTTTTTTTACAAGAGGCATGTATAAAAGATTTATTTATTCTTGTAATTATCAATAATAATTACCTAGACATATTTTAAGGTACCCGAATTTGATCACGATAAGTAAAAAAAAAAAAACACAAGTAAGATTGAATAATAAATCTTTATTTAAAATATGGCTTCCTTGTTAAGATAAAATATCTGATTATAAAATAATACGCTAGTGAAAAAATTACTAAATTGCGATTTAAATATCACTGAAAGGTGGTGGAAAGGTCACTGAAAGACGGCAGAAAGGTCACTGAAAGTTGGCAGAAAGGTCACTAAAAGTCGACGGAAAGGTTACTAAAAGTTGACGTAAAGGTCACTGAAAGTTGACAGAAAGGTCACTGAAAGTTGATGGAAAGGTCACTGAAAGTTGATGGAAAGGCCACTGAAAGTTGACTGAAATGTGTCCGCTGAATGGTGACTGAAAGGTATCTGAAATGTGACTGAAAGGCAACTGAAAGGTCACTGAAATGTATGTGCCATTCAGTGGCTGAATGGCCACTGAAAAGTTACTGAAAGCCGCCTTTCAGTTTTAACTGAAAGGTCTTGTTTCTTCCTGTGATTTTCACAGAATTAAGAAGACAATACCAGTAAGTGATATTATCAATGAAATTAAATTTGACCGTTTTATATTAAAGACAAGGTCAGGTCAAGGTCATTATCTTTTTCCTTGACAATAAGAATAAAAAATAACTGTTGCCAATCATGTGATACCTACTTCTATTTCAAAAGTTTAATGATTGTTCTTTTTGCATAAAAACATATTACTATATCGGGTATATAGCATGATATTACCAAAGGTTCATTCTCTATAAGGCCATTTTCCGGCCTACGATAAAATTGCTTTAAAATGTGATTTTATATAACTATAATCATTTTAGTTTATGATTTTGATTTTTGTTTTCCAACATTTATCATCTAGGTCACGTGATTTAGGGATAAAAAATGGCTGTCAGTTACAGAAAAATTGAGGGTGCGTCTATTTAAATCAAGTTTCGATGCATGTTTCTCAATGTAAATAATCAAAAATTGTTTATTTATGTCGGAAATACATCAGACCTAAGTAATAAATTCGAAGACTTTTTTAAATTTAAGGTTCAAGATATTTTTATGACAAGAATTCCGATGCATCCAAATTTTGGATATTTTGAACGATAATCTTTACGAAATTCACACTGTGTGGTGCTGAAAAAAGTTTGATTTGCAATTTTTTTGAAAAATATTATATCATATATAATTATTTTGTAATTGTATATCATTTCTATAGATGTGGTACTTATTTTTAGCATAAAATAACCATGTTAGAAATGGGGTTTTTAAGTTTCTATTGAACTCTAAAAGTTATGTATCAAATGTTGAAAGCACTGAATGGATTTTGATTGCGATTAAATAAAACTGAAGTTGTAATTCAGAAAAAAATTTAACTTTTGCAAAAAATAAGAATTAACAGCATAAGAATATCAATGCAAGTACAAGTTGACTATCCATATACATGTAAATAGTCAATTTATTTAACTCAGAGTGGTTGCATTAAAACATATATCTCTAAGTAATATGAAATAGCGTCGTAAAATGGCTTTGCTTTTATTTAATTTCACGTGTTCCACGATATATTCAATTAAAAATGCCATCTAAACTGTATGTATTTACATGTACAAAAGTTGAGACCCCCCCCTCGTGTCTTATGGCACAACATAAAATGATGGAGCAGAATTTTAGCAGTTCCTTCAACTACAGTATGCATATCAGATTCTGAAGTTATTCGTATAAACTAGTATCTGAATTAAGAGTTCTACAACATCCCAGGTACAAAATGGACCTTAAGGGTTTGATGCTCCTTTCGCACTCTTGAAACCTGTAGATTAAATTCAGTCTCTTTCCCAGTGCAGCGTCAAAAACTTGTTGAACACGGATAGTTACAGTTCCCTGCCTAAGTCTTTAATAGCTTTTAAAGTAAATGCCATCAGTCTTTTGGATATTATCTTTTTTTGTTAAAAAAAAAAAAAAAAAAAAAAAGGTCCTGTCCCGCGTTGGACGTTGGTTAGTAATGCAATTATGCATAATTACTTGACCTTAAGTGGATGATCTCTTTATCTGGTTGAAAAATCCTTAAATAGGGTAAAGCAACATTCATTATCAATGACATATTACATTTATGAATCCCTCTCCTCTCTACCAGTTTATTTTCTAAGACAGCTTATATCGATGCTATCAAAGAAGTGTGATGAATAGATTGAGTCCTTTCAATATTAAGACCTATTTAACAAATTATGGATCACATGAAACTCGTACGGAAGGGTCCATATAAAAATTATGTGTGTACCCATACGAAAAGTGTCTATAACACAAATAATAAATGCATGTTACCGCTTCAACAAAGATTGCTTTCATCATTTCTAGAACATATACAGTACTCAATAAGGAAATACAAAGAATATATGGAATACTCATAACGAAATTCAAGGAAGTAGCAAATATAGATGTACTAAACTATCATCATAAATATAAAAAATAACTCATATTCACATCAAATATTCTATAAAATGTTTTTATTTCTTAATTTTTTTTTCAGACATTTCAAAGAAACGTCTCCACTTGGAATTTCATGACATCCAGTCTTAACAGTCCTTTGATTTTTAGATTTTTAAGTAAGAAGTTCACATTTTTTTGTAAATATGCATGGATGATATTAATCTTAGTAAATCAACAGAAAATTGTACTCTAACCAAAAGTTTATAAAAAGAAATAATCTACATTAGCTGATATCCTTCATTGTCAGTAGTTGGCTTTTTTCTGCAAATATCGTAAAAATGAAGTGAAAAGTTTTTATTTAGATGTCATAAACACCTTTAACCAAATTCATAATTTGGTAGTTACTTTTTATATTTATAAGAAATTTACATGCAAATTTTGGTGTTGGTTAAAGGTGGTTAAGACATGCGTAGGAGTTATCTAACACAGCCACCCTCTTGAGTTTTCCCATTACTCTAATGCTTATACGGACCGATAGTACCTTACTTTATGACTCCATATCATTAAAAATACTAAAGTATCATTAACCAACCAATATTTATTATTAAATTGGAACATAAGCCTAGTGATTCATGCAATCTTTCAAGGAAAAAAATACTCTCTGAAAATTTGAAGTCATTGTAGGCCGCAAAACGGCCTTATAGAGAATGATCCAAATTTACACAAATAAATTAACTTAACTGGATATTGGCTAATCCGAATTTTCTCTGTTTTTCTTAATTTTTTAGGATATATTAGTTATTTTCATATGCTTCCTATATTTAACTTTTTCTTATTTTCACATATAATAAAGTAGTCTCATAAATTTACAAAATGATACAAAAACAAAAAGTTTTGATCGTTTACTAAGAGAGAAAAAATACTTTTTATGGATTTTTGGCTCAAATCTGCACTTTGATAGGAAGCGTTTAAAAGCTGATAAAGTTCTAGTTTTTTTAGAAAAATCATATTTATTTGATATATTTTGAAAGTTTAGTCCCTCATTATTAATCTAACTTACATTTGAAAATTTCTCCAAGACTTCGATTGTGTAAAAATTATAACTAAATTCATTGTTCTATTATAATTTTGAGAGGCAGAAAAGAAGATATTTTCATACGCCACTATAGTCCCTGCTAGTTTTCAAATACAGTTTACCATTTCTATTTAAAGTGGTACAATTGTGATGAGGAAAGAAAAATATGATCTTTTAATTTCCTTACACCTCAATATATAATACATATAAGCAAATATACTTGAGTGTTTCATCTAGTCAGAAACCAGAGAAGAATCCTATCTTAAACAAGGGGAGATAATCAGGAAAACAAAACCAAAAGTTCTGGTTGCTAAAAAATCTTCATCTCCATAACCACCAGGCAGATTTTCACCAAACTTACAGACAAGGATCAGGATATGTCGAAGATTAAAATTTGCACGGGGAATTACCCTGGGGCAAAGGGCGTGGTCTCAAGGTCACTTCAGAGTTGATCTAAATTTACAGTTAATAAAAACGTGTATATTTTGCTTACTATAAGGACTAGGATCATCAAATTTTGTAAGTTGATGCATCTTATGACTTCACATCATGTTAGCTCAAAAGTAGGTGACGGTGACCTACTTTTTAAATTTTGCGGGAATTTGTTTTCAAATTGATTTGAAGGCATATTTTGGACACTTTAAGGCCTATGATCATCAAACTTTGTCAGTTGATGCATCTTGGGTCCTCAAACAATGTCAACTTAAAAGTAGGTCACCGTGACCTACTTTTTGAACTTTATGACTTATCTTTTTAAAAACATTAAATCCCATCATTTCAGAAACTGGGAGTTTAGAATCATCAAATCTTGTACTTTGATGCATCTTGGGACCTTACAACATATTTATGAAAAAGTAGTTCACTGTGACCTACTTTTTGAATTTTGCCGACATTTGTTTTCAAATTGTTTAAAACGCATATTTTGATTACCTTCAGACGTAGGATCATCAAACTTGGTCATTTGATGCATCTTGGATCTTGGAAAAATGTCGACCAAAATGTAGGTCACGGTGACCTACTTTCGACATTTTATGGCTATATTTAAGTATCTTATGTATTTTTTGGCTTAGAATCATCAAACTTTGTGAGTCAATGCATACTTAGTTTTCGGAGAGTGGCGACCAAAAAATAGGTCACGGTGACCTACTTTTGACATTTTATGGCTTTATTTAAGTTTCTCCGGTACTTATTGGCTTAGAATCATCAAACTTTGTGAGTTGATGCATCTTGGGTTTTCGGAGAGTGACGATCAAAAAGTAGGTCATGGTGACCTACTTTTGACATTTTGTGGCTATAATTAAGTATCTCTGGTACTTATTAACCTAAAATCATCAAACTTTGTCAGTTGATGCATCTTGGGTTTTCGGAGATTGTCGACCAAAAAATAGGTCACAGTGACCTACTTTTGATATTTTATGGCTATATTTAGGTATCTCAGGCATTTATTGGCTAAGAATCATCAAAATTTGTCAGTTGAGGCATCTTGGGTTTTCGGAGAATGTCGACCAAAAAGTAGGTCACGGTGACCTACTTTTGAATATCTCAGGTACATATGAGGTTAGAATCATTAAACTTTGTCAGTCTAGGCACCTTGGGTGTTCGGAGAACGTCGACCAAAAAGTAGGTCACTGTAACCTACTTTTGACATTTTATGGCTATATTTAATTATATCTGGTACTTATTGGCTTGGAATCATCAAACTTTGTCAGTTGAGGCATATTAGGGTTTCATTGAATGTCCAACAAGAAGTAGGTCACGGTGACCTACTTTTGCATATCTCAAGTACTTATTTAATTAGAATCATCAGTCTTTGTCAATTAATGTATCTTGAGTCCTCAGAAAATTTCAATCAAAAGGTAGGTCACTGTGACGTACTTATGGTATTTTATAATTATATTATAATATATTCAATCTAACTGGCTAAATATTATCAAACTTTGTAAGTTGATGCATTTTGGGTCTTATGATACTAATAGAGTTGGAGGCTTCTAATAGAAGTGATAGATTGTACAATTTATCAGAAGAGCGATTCAAGGCCCTTGGGCCTCTTGTATTTCTGAATAATCATGGTTTCGCAGGAAGACCTCCTAAATTAAACAGAAAGACAGAAAGTGGGGGAGATGAAAACATAGAGGTGAAAGAAAGGATGAATTCAAAGGAAGGAGAGAATTCAAAAGATGCAGAGTCAGAAAATGGAGGACCATCCCCAAAATCTCCCAAGAAAGGTCGTGGTAAGTCAGAAAATGTGTTTAGTTTTGTATTCATTCATCATGTTTACCAGAACATTCAAATGAACAATAAGTCTTTTGATGACTGGATAGTCTTTGCTATTTTAAGATTTTCATATGCAATTTTTTTCTTTCATGAGCAAATTTCAACAAAACAAAATAAAACTATTGAAATAACATTTTCTCTACTTCACAACATGTGCCTGAATGAATTCAAAACAGGGCAAAAATTATTTGCATGTGTGAAATGACCCAGAAAAAAGTAAAGAAAAGTAAAGAACACCATGCACAGAGTGATTTGTAGATCATGTACATGTGTACAATATGAATTGAAAATTCATATGTCAGATTTCTTGAGTGGATCTTATAGGCAACTTATTGACCTGTAAGCCTCGTAAATTAATAAGGTGTTGTGGAGCATAGATAAAGATGTTTAGGCAAGTGTTAGTTTTTCAATGTTTTGTTAATTGGGGGATTCATTATTTATAATACATGTAATTGCATGGTTTTTACAGGAAGACCTGCCAAAATACAAAGACAGACAGATCTGACAGAAAGAGGGAAAGATGAAAAAAGTGAGATGGAAGGAAAGATGAATTCAGAGGATGGAGAGAGATCAATAGACAGGGATTCAGAAAATGGAGCACTGTCTCCAAAATCTCAGAAAAGAGGTCGAGGTAGGGCAGAAAACATGCTTTGTTTTGTATTTGAAAATTGATTATGCCTTCAGAAGAACATATGGTCTTTATGTATTTTCAGTGTTGTGATTAGTTGAAAACTGCTTTCCTTTTGAATAATGTAAATACTGAGTGCATCATTATGTCACCTTTTTTTTTTGACAGGAAGACCTCCTAAAGTGAAATGACAGAATTGATTAAACAGAAAAAAGGAGAAATCATGGAAGAGGAAGAAAAAAAAATGAATTCTGTTCGAGAATGAAATGAAGTCAGTGATGATTCTCAGTATACACAGATACATTATATGCAAATGCCCCAGGCAGCACAAAGTAGAAAACTTATCACATCTTCTACTTTAGAATACATACATTTAGCTTAGTAATACTAAATTTGTTGAATCATATCAAAATTGTCAGCTGGGCTTCCTCCTGTAAAACAGAGCTTTAAAAGTATACCAGGGTTAGTGAACATTTTTGGGAAATTTTACATGTAAAATGTACATGTGTAATGCAAGTCTATAAGAGTCTATCTAAAATTCTGTGTAAAAAATGACAAATAATTACAACGGAATCATTTCTATGACTCTTATTCAAAATTAAAGAAAGCAAGTTAAAATTCTTTATTTTTTGTTTATTATGTCTTTTAATCATGTTTTTAAAAATATATTTTATTCATTTATTTTTCTTTGTGTTTGTTTGATTGAATTGAAAACCAAGGCTTGCTTTGTTTTGCATGTTTTTAGTTTGCAAAGATAATTTACTGATACATGTATATTGCGAATTTGTTTCATTTGTTGTTTTGGTTTTTGCGCGGTTACTATAAATGTAATGCTGAAAACATATGGTCATGGGTATTTTCACTCTTTTGAGAGCTTACCTATTTGTACAATTTAAAACTTATTGAGTTTTCCCTAGCCCCCAACCATTGAGGGGGAGGGGGAGTGTAGATTGTTTAAAATTGATATTACATGCCCCTGTCTTGTTCATCACTATTATTAAAGTGTTCATAATAAATCTAGTCAATTAGAATATTTAGTCCTCTTCACTATTTTATTTCCTTAACCAAAAAATAATTTGTACTCTGCTTTATAAATTTATTAAAGTGAACATGTAGATACATGTTGTTATAACTTGTTGTCAAATCAAGGTTAGTTTGATCTGTACATTGTACATATAGAGGCCAAATCAGGTCATTTTTATGTGTTGTCTGATGCATTTCTTTGCATTGTTTATTTTTTTGTAGTGCCATTTTTATTAAATTTGATTGTTTTTATGATGCATACATATGTACATTCATTTTTAGTAGGTTGTTGAAACTTTTTTTTTTTCTGCTTATGATTTTTGTACCACAAGATGTATTCTCTAGTTTGCATAATAAATGTTTTATAAGAGATCATGTTTAAGTCTGAATACTGTAGAATGATGTAATTATAAAAGTTTATGTAGTAAGTTTCTGATACTTGGAAAATGACTTCTATATGGATGATAATGGTAATTAAACAATAAAATGCTTTCTTTGGTTGTAAGTATGGGGAATTATAGCTGCAGATCTGTAGTGTAATGGTTTTATATATTTGTCTTTGACCATAACGCTACAGATCCCTTAATGCAAAAAAAGGTGCAAAAGAACATAACGCTACAGATCTGCAGCTAGGGGAATTAATGTCACAGCTGTTAAAGAACAAATTTTTTTTTTTATTTTTCTAGAGACCTGCACATTTTATTTTCTTAGACTTATACTGTGTACAACTTTTTAGCTCACCAGCTGAGCTTAAAGCTCAATTGAGCTTTTCTGATCACCCGTTGTCCCTGGTCCACCCGTCTGTAAACTTCACATTTTCAACTTCTCAAGAATCCCTTGGCAAATTTTTAATAAACTTCTTACAAAGCATCCTTGGACCAGAAAAACTGAAAAATATGTGGAAGCATCCTGGGGAAGATTAAATTCCAAATTGTTAAAATAATGACCCCGAGGGTTGGACGGGGCATCAATAGTGAATCCAAGTTGAACATTTAAATATATAGGAAAAATCTTCAAAAGTCTTCTTCTCAAGAACAACAGGGCCAGAAATTCTGAAACTTATGTGGAAGTATTCTTGGGTATTGTAGATTTTAAATTGTTCAAATCATGTCCCCTGGGGAAGGGCTGGGCCACAACCAATCTGATTAAAATCAGATCTTTGTTACGCTCCGAAATTCTGATGGTCGCTTTGTACAGCAACCATCAGAATTTCGGACGTAACAAAGATCTGATTTTAATCAGATTGGGCCACAACAGGTATTACAAGGGGGGATCTTGTAAGAACATACTCAGATGAGCGATATGGTCTGTGGGCCTCTTGTTTAAGCAATATGAGCTGCAACTTTGATGTCTTAAATTTTTTGTTCCCCGCTTAAAAAGTGGGGGTTATAAATCTGGGTCTGTTCGTCACTCTGTCTGTCGTTTCCACAAGATATCTCGAGAACCCGCTTTTGCAATGAAATTTTGCATAGCAACTCCCTATGGTCTAAAGAAGAACCCTATTGATTTTAAATTCAAAAGGTCAAGGTCATAAATTCGTAAATTCTGTCTGTTATAACACTTTCGTTTCCGTGCAATATCTCCAGAACCCTCTGAGCTTTGGCAATGAAATTTTGCATAGCAACTATCTATGGACTAATGAAGAACCCTATTGATTTTGAGGTCAAAAGGTCAAGGTCATAAATTTGTAAATTCTGTCTGTCATAACACTTTCGTTTTGTGCGATATCTCGAGAACCCTTTGATCTTCTGCAATGAAATTTTAAATAACAACTCCCTGTGGCGTGAGGAAGACCCATATCGATTTTGAGGTCAAAAGGTCAAAGTTCAAGGTCGTAAATTTATACATTCTGTCTGTGTGTAACACTATCCTTTCCGGGCGATATTTCAAGAGAATTTTGAACTTTTGCAATGTAATTTTATACCAAAACTCCCTAGGACCTCTCTCACCCCTCTCAAAGTGTCCCGCTTTCACGAAAGCGAGGGGACATTAAATCTCATTTGTCTCTCCATGTGTCCATCAGTCTGTCTAGCTGTCCGTCACAAAAACATTAACCTAGCCCATAACTTTTGATTTAGTAGAGCTATGACTTTCATATTTCATGTGTTTATTCCTTGTGATAAGACCTTTCTTTATGTACCACGATATTTGACTTTTTGACCTTGACCTTGGAGTTTGACCCACTTTTACACAAACATTCTAAATTTTACTTTGGCCATAACTTTTGAATGGTAAATACATGTACTAGGACTTTCATATTTCACATATATTTTTTGTGACAAGACCTTTCATTGGATACCAACAACCTTGACCTTTTGACTTTGACCTTGGAGATTTCTGTACTTATGAAAAAAACTTTAATCTTGACCATAACTTTTGAACGGTAAGGGCTAGGGCTTTCATACTTCATGTATGTAATTCTTGTGAGAAGACCTTTAATTGAAATCAAGAACTTTGACCCTTTGACCTTGACCTGGAGTTTTACCTTCTTTTCAAAAAGGTTGATCTTGGCCACAACTTGTGAACAGTAGATACTAGGACTTTCATATTTCACATATGTATTCTTTGTAGCAAGACCTTTCATTTGATATCAACAACCTTGAGCGTTTGACTTTGACCTTGGAGATTTTTCATATTTATGAAAAAACTTTAACCTTGACCATAACATTTGTATGGTAAGGGCTAGGGCTTTCATACTTCACATATGCAATCCTTGTGAGAAGACTTTTCATTTTGTATTAAGAACTTTAACCTTTGACCTTGACTTTGGAGTTCAGTGATGATTTCTAAATAAATGACATATGATAGGTGTTCATATTACACACAACATGTCATAAAGAATGACATTTCACCCACAAAGACACCGAAAGTGGGGGAACGCAATTCCTTGAATTTGCTTGTTACAGAATTGTAATTTAACTATTTCAAGAACAGGGAAAAGGAACATTTTTAATCCACTTTTGTTCATTAACACACCTGAGCCGAAGGCTCAAGTGAGCTTTTCTGATCAAAATTCGTCCGTTGTCTGTTGTTCTTTTTGTAGTCTTTGTTGTCGTCACCGTAAACTTTCCACCAAAAATTTCAACCAAACTTGCCACAAAGCATCCTTGGGTGAAGGGGATTCAAGTTTGTTCATATGAAGGGTCACGGGATCTTTCAAGGGGAGATAATCATATATTAGTGAAAAATTAATGGCATCTTATAATGAAAGAAAAAGTGAGCAAGCTCACATACCCCACGCTCCCCCAAAACTCAAAATGCTGAAATCCCGGAAAAAAAATAAAGGAATCGTAATTTCCCGGTAATATGAACATCTAAACATTGCGTCCTAAATATCTGCAAACTTTGAGGAAATTCTGTGCAGCTGTTTAAGGGGAGTTGCGCGCTGACAATTTGTTCACCTCTATATTCAAGGTATGCCCAAAAACTTTTTGGTGCGGAAATTCCCCCAAAAAATAAAGGAACTGGAATTTCCTGGTAATATGCACATCTACACACTGTGTCCTAAATTTCTGCAAAGTTTGAGGAAATCCTGTGCATCGGTTTATGAGGAGTTGCGCTGACAAAAAAAAACAGGACTGGTGGACTTACTGACGACGGACGGGATACCAACAATGTTGACCTTTTGACCTTGGAGATTTCTGTTCTTATGAGAAAAAAACTTTAACCTTGGCCATAACTATTGAATGGTAAGGGCTAGTGCTTTCATACTTCACATATATGATCCTTGTGAGAAGACACTTCATTGGATACCCTTTGACCTTGACCTTGGAATTTGACCTACTTTTCAAAAGCAAAATTGGCCATAACTTTTGAAGGGTCAGGGCTAGGGCATCCATACTTCACATTATCTTTTGTGGCAAGACCTTTCATTACATACCAATTACCTTGACATTTTGACCTCTGAGATTGCCGTACTTAAGAAAATAATCTAACCTTGACCTATTTTCATATTTCACAATTGCATTTCCAGTGAGAATACCCTACTTTTGGTTCATGTACCCTGTAAAACAGTAAATTTGCATTCAAGAAAAGTTTAATCTTCGCTATGGTATCTTACGGGGGCATCAATGTTTCACAAACACATCTTGTTGATGCTAAACTGATTTTTGCTTTTCCTAACCACATACTCAGGTGAGCGACATGGCCCCTTGGCCTCTTGTATTTGCGATGGGAGAACGTTTCATAAGCTAAGATTGAAGCAAACATTTGCATTGTTGTCATCCTAACAATATTGATTTCTTAAATAGTACTGCAGTACCCGCTTCGTTATTCTTTACAATTCTATCGTGTCCTATCGTGCATGTATCCTTTTGTATCGTGCGTATATCCTCTCGTATCTTATTTTCCGTTTATCAGGTTTTGCGTTTTTATGCCCATGTAAACGAAGTTTCGGGGGTATATAGTTTTTGTCATGTCCGCCCGTCTGTCTTATCTGTCTGTCTTTGTCTGTCTCTCTGTTTGCCCATAACTTTTGATTTAGTGGAGCTATGACTTTCATATTCCACTTGTGTATTCCTTGCGAGAAAACCTTTCTGTGGGTACCAATAAATTTGACTTTTTGACCTTGACCTTGGAGTTTGACCCACTTTTACACAAAAAATTCCAAACTTTTTACTTTGGACATATCTTTTCAACAGTAGATACTAGGACATTTATTCTTCACATATGTATTCTCTGTGGCAAGACCTTTCACCAGATACCAACAACCTTGACCTTTTGACCTTGACCTTGGAGATTTCCAAAAGTATGAAATGACTAACCTTTCCCATAATTTTTGAACGGTAAGGGATAGGGCTTTCATACTTCACATATGTAATCCTTGTGAAAAGACTCTTCATTGGATACCAAGAACTTTGACCCTTTGACCTTGACCTTTGAGTTTGACCTACTTCTAAAAAACAAACCTTGACCATAACTTTTAAAGGGTTAGGGCTACTTCTTTCATACTAAGACAAGACCTTTCATTTGATAGCAAGACCTTTGACCTTCGAGTTTGACCTACTTATTAAAATTTTTAACCTTGCCCATAACTTCTGAACGGTTAGGGCTACATGTAGGACTTCCACACTTTACATATATATTCTTTGTTGCAAGACCTTTCATTGGATACCAATTACCTTGACCTTTTGACTTGACCTTGGAGATTTTCATACTTTAACC